TTTTTGATAGTTCTCAATTATGATGAGTAATATCTACATGCACTATGCTTTTTAAAACTTGGCTTACAGCATTTGGGGTCATTAATTGACGCAACTGGCATTCATATGACAAATCACCCAAGGTTTCACTGACCTTGGCAGCACTCAAGAGTAATCAGCCACAAGGTAAGCATGAAATGTTCCCGAACAAGTGCCTTAGGCACTAAGCCATAGCAATGTCATTTTCCCCCCTTTTCTTCTTAAATGTACTCTGTGTTTAATTCAGCCAGTATCTAGCTTTGTTTCCTAAATCCCCCAAGCACTTAGCATTGTCCTGAGTAGCACTTCCAGCTTCTGTCTCAGATGATTATAGCTTTCAAAAGCTGTAATGCAGGTGATCCTACTATTAGTGTGGGGCAGCTGTCTCAGACTGCAGATGGGAAGGACAGGATTGGACCAATAATCATCTGTGCACACAAAAACATGGGTTCTACTCAGTGGTGGTATTCATTTTTTTTTACTACCAGTTCTGTGGGCATGGCTTGATGGACGTCGTGTGGCTTGGTGGGTGTGATGTGGCTTGGTGGGCATGGCTTGGTGGGTGTGGCAGGGAAAGCATACTGTAAAGTCCCCATTTCCACCCCACTCCAGGGAAAGGATACTGCAAAGTCTTCATTCCCTCCCCACCCCACTAACCTGCTTTCCAGCTCTGTTCTCCTGTGCAGGGCAACAAAAGAAGACTCAGTCGATCAGCTGGGACTCAGGAAGCAGAGAATATATGGGGGTGGGGCTAGTCAGAGGTGGTATTTGCCAGTTCTCTGAACTACTCAAAATTTCCACTACCAGTTCTCCAGAACCTGTCAGAACTGTCTGAATACCACCTCTGGTTCTACTGGTTTATGGCTGTTACCATAGTATGGATCATCAGTGTTGACTATTATATAGGAAACAGCCCTCATGGATCCAATGGCTTTGGTATCCATTTCTTTTTTTTAATGAAAGAGAGCTTATCTTCAACCAGTGCTGATAGAAGATTAAATGATGAGCATTCATATGTGAACCCAGCTGATATTTCCATGTGTATATTCTCCACATGTATAATTCCTAATAAAAGTTATTGGGAATGATACATGAAACACATATAAGGATACATTTTAGGTTCTATAAAATGAAATATATACTTGGGAGAGACACATAAATAAAAATGTAATTATTACAGGTGGTTTTTCAGAAAAAAACAACAACCAATATTTTAAGAACATCATACATTTTGGACTGAAATCAAAATAGACATGCCTCACCTTATGGAATATTTCTTATTTCTAGTTCACAATAGAAGCCATACTTCATTTTTTGTAAGAAGGAAGGAAGGAAGGAAGGAAGGAAATCTTGCCTTCAAGTTTTACACTTTTATTTTTAAAAGGAAGCTTATTTTTATTTTATTTTGCCTTGACACATAATCACCAAATGGCTTCACAATTCAATTCAGGGTGAAAAAGAAACAAAGTAACACATTTTGTTTATTCAGGAAAACAACATTTGGTGCTCTTTTACTACTCCCCACATATGCAAAAACAACTTAGGTAGCACCACCATGCTTATGCCTTAAGCAGCATACAATTATTTGTATTTTTTTGCAACTCTGGGACATCCACATAGGGGAGAACAGAGCCCAATACTAGCTCTGCTCCAGATACAAAACAGCCCCAATATCCATAGATTAAGGCAGATACTTGTATATGAAGAAGTACATGTCTACTATTACATGGAAAGTTCAGCTACATAGAAGTGGATCTCTGAACAAGCAGCTCAGAAATGGAGATTGCTTCTCGAAAACTGATGCTGAAGCAATGGATTTAGGAACAAGCAATACTACAAAACACCGAAGTTAGGCTGAAGGGATTACAGATCATTTTTGTGAGGAACTGCTAGTAGAAGTTATATTAGAGCTTTTATTTCTCGAGGTGATCCTGGTGATAACTATGGCACCAATTATCGATTGATTTTGAAAAATAAAATAAAACTGATTTAAAGATGATTTAATATCATGTGTTTTTCACCCCTAATAAACCAAAATATCTTTTTAAATTAGTAAAGATCTTTATGTTCCATATTGAGGCAGATGTTTAAGTACAGTAGAGTGTTTATGATTCCCCTGAGTGCATAAGAGAATGAGATTTCTTCTTGTCATAATCTTTGTCCCCTCTGGAATATCAGAATTTACAGATCATATCAAGAGCTGTCTTAGTTGATCCTGCTCTGTTGATTATATTAATAAAGCAGAATACAATGAATGCAAGAGGTGTTTTTTTTTAAAAAAAAAATGATACAGTGGATAAGAATTTTAGAATTCATATTAAAGACCAGCTAACTTTACCAAGCTAGCTCAAGGTTGAAAAATAACATGTGAGTTTCAGAGATCTATAAAACTCTCCCCCAAGTACCAAATGTAAACAAAGTAGAGGATTGGATGGGCTGAAGCAGATGGCTTTCAAGCCCTGAATCTAATTTCATTGTTCAAAAAGGAACAGAGAGTTGATTTTAGGCATTCAAATTAGATTTGAATAATTTCCCTGGGCATATTCTCCCAAGGATTGGGAGGGATCAAAATCAGGTAAAACTATAAACATTGAAATGCAGCTGTTAAGTCAGTCTAAATTTTCCTTGAACTAAACATGCAAGCTCTTTGGTGAATAAAAGCAGAAATAGCGTAGAGGTGGTATTCAGCAGGTTCTGACCAGTTCCGGAGAACCGGTATTGGAAATTTTGAGTAGTTCAGAGAACCGGCAAATGCCTCCTCTGTCTGGCCCCACCCCCATCTATTCTCTGCCTCCCAAGTCCCAGCTGATTGGCTGGGTCTTCTTTCATTGCCCTGCACAGGAGAACAGAGCTGGAAAGCAGGTTAGTGGGGTGGGGAGGGAATGGGGATTTTGCAGTATCCTTCCCCTGCCATGCCCACCAAGCCACACCACGCCCATCAAGCCATGCCCACAGAACCGGTAGTAAAAAATTTGAATCCCACCACTGAACTAGATAAGTGGAACAAAGCTGAACCTAACATACTTATTGTAGGAAAAGAACTGTGTTAATCTAGGGTTACCAAAAATCAGAATCTGGTACTGCGTTTTATGAAAGATTATGCCTTCAAATAAAAATTGGCAATTCCTAATGTGGGGCTAACGGATTCCTTCTGATTTCTAGCATACTTACAGTTCCAGAAGGGTTGGGATTCTTTTCCTGGAGTCCAATGTTGATTTTACTCCATTGGTAAAATAAAAACCATGAGCAATAGTTAACCACGCCTGAGCAGCTCAGATTCTATAGATTTTGGTAGAAAAAGGAAATAAACACTGAACACTAAAATGATTACTTTTTAAACTGCTTGAGTCAGCTGGATCATGTTTTTCTGTGTGCTAAGAATACTAATCTGAATCTCCCCTATAATATTGATCCAAAACTGACAAGAAGGGCAAGGAAATGGCAGCACTGAGATTTCATTTTCAGGCTGAAAAATATCAAGAGAATATCTTTTGCAAGTCTTCTATAGGGTGTTATAAAAATTTCAACTTTTGTGTGTGAGAGTTTCCATAAAATGGTTTGAAAGATCTATCATGGTATGAGTTGGAATTTATCTGCTCAACCAAATCACCATTTCTCTGAATACTAGGACATACTTAATGCCATTTGAAAATATCTATACATATTTTTCAATAGATATTTCAAAAGACAATCAACATTCAATTGTCAGAAAGCTATTGAGAAGTACATGTTTTCATAATACAGATTGTTTATCTATGAGAAGTAATTATATCAATGTCACTAGGTAAACTTATTTTACTACAATTATTATGGTAACACAAAATGCCGTATAGACATATATAACCATTGGATGAAAGTACAATATAAATTTCAAAATAAAATTTGGAATATTTCGTGTAAAATGATGGAATAAATAGTTTAGTCATAGATGATTGATAATTGATAGATATATGAGCATATGTTTATTTGACAATGTGAAAATTTCTATAAACTGTGAGTAATGACTATGAAAGAATAGCACAAAAGATTTGTAACCAAATGGAAGATGGTTTTATGTTTTTATGTTTTTGTTTGTATATGTTTGTCTTAAAAATAAAAACTTTTTTTAAAAAATGTTCTACTAAACAGGCCCAGATTCAAATCCACCCTCAGCCATGGAATCTCACAGAGTGACCCTGAACCAATCACTCTCACTCAGCCCAACCTATTTCACAGGATATTTGTTGCACAAATCAAATGAAAAAAGTCCATATAAGTTACATTTTTTCCTGCAGAAAGGCAAGATAATGAATTCAACAAATAAATAACATTGGAGGAATATATAAACCTGAGTGAATAAATATGTGAATAATGAATTTATATAAATGAATGTGTATGGATAAATATATATGAATGAATGAACTTAAAAACTTCCTGCCTAAATGTCTAAAGAGATGTTATTAAACATTAATGGATCAATACAATCAATTCAGCATAAAAACTGCTTTTAAGTGGCCTATTTCAGTGGAACATAGAAAACCCTGTCCTTCATAACACCATTACAAGCTATTTTTTTGGGAATTGGGCAGTCTACAAACTGAATTAAATGTAGATATAGCAAATGGAACAGAGGCTGATTAAGTAATCAGCATAAATAAATGTTGCATTCTAGGAGCTAACTATATTGAAGTGTTGCAGATACATTTGAAGTATAAACTGAACTGCTTTCCCAAAATCAGCATAACAGTTCACATGACAAAGAAAGAATTCAGCTAAACTTAAGAGTTTGGAGAATTGTCTCATTTTGGAAATTCCCTAAGGACCAGGCTTTTACTAATATTATCTGCCTGTCAATGCAGTGCAATGCAGCCAAGATTTCTATACTTTAAATGATAAAATGGCAAACTATTATCAGGGTTCACTGTCTAGGTTAGATTTCAAGAAGTTTCTCTATGACTTACCCATTGAGAATATTAGTACCACTAGCAAAATGGAGATGTTCCAAACTACAGGACTGATCAACATGGTTTTAGTACTACAATAACCCTACTGAAGCATCTATCTCTCCCTCTCCCTCCCTCCCCCTCCCTCCCTCTCCCTGTGTGTGTGTGGGGGGGGGGAGAGAGAGAGAGATCCTTTCTCAATGAGGCCAATGGTCTGCTCAGGGACTTCATTCCTATCATTGTTAGCAATGGGCAGCAGGTAAAGTGCCTTGTTACATCATCTTATATCCCTACTTCTACAAGACATTGTGTGTCTAGAGAAGCTTCACTTTAATTTCATAATTTTTTCTATGTAAAACAATATCTCTCGCTCAAATGTGGAATGGTTTGCTTTACTGCAAAGTGATCCACTGTAAGTAACATTTATGGACTTTAACAGGAAACAGATCTTTGCAGCTTACAAGACATTTTGCTTGGATAACTAAATTAGACATTTTCTATGCTTAGACAAATAAGAACAGGAAGTCTCCTTCTAATAGCATGCACCAAGGATTACGAATCTGTTTGCGTTTTAGTTATCCATCTGTAAAATGTTGTGAAGACAGTTATATTAAGGTTGCAATTTTAAAGCATTTGCTTTAAGTCCATATTATCTCCCAATTAATGGAACTTACCCTGTTGTTAATGGTGTCAGAGTTTCATTTTAAAATAATGTTTATATATTACAAAAATGAAAGGCAAAGTCTGAAGTTTACTGCTGTTTTCAAAATCATTTACCATTTCTTCTTGCAATAAATGTTACCATTTTCTCTAATAATTCAGAAAATAAATCATCATTCTTTTTATTGTTTTTCATAAATCATATGCTCCTAAGGTGACTTTTTAAATACGCATGCATGTACTCTCATATACGCACACAACTCTTGAACTAAGAGTAAATTATAAGAACTGTTGAGAAATAAATGAGAGGGAACATTTTGTTTCAAAATTTTAAAACCTGAAGATAAACAGTGAAACTTTCTCTTACTCCATGTCTCTAGTTTAGATAATAACGAGCATTTTTGTTGTGTTAACAACAGATAACCAGGAGAAACCACTAGATGACTAGTTCTCTCCTTATTGGGATCTTCAGGAATTTATTTGTCCATACTAGATGTTTTATGTTCAACTTTTTAATGGGATTTGAACATAAGCCTATATTAATACAACAATTACTATGGAGGATACCTACACTTAAAGAGCCCCAGTGAGGATGGAACTGATTGTGTATAGCGTACTGTACTGTGTAGTTACTCTTCCTGGTCAGCAGCTAACATCTATGTTAGATAAACATCTATGGAGATTCTTAGTCATCCTGGTCATGGTTGTCTCAAAGGTGCTTTTTTTCAAGAGGCAACTAGACTCTGGTTTTTCTTTGAAGACATTTTGCTTCTCATCCAAGAAACTTCTTCTGGGAAGCTTCTTGGATGAGAAGTGAAATATCTTCAGAGAAAAACCAGAAAGTCCAGTTGCCTCTTGAAAAAAAGCACATTTGGGATATGTAAGATAAACCCAGGTTACTTGAAAGACTGCCTGTCTCTCATGGTTCCTACATGGCTAGCATGCATAGACACACTCTGGGTCCTTCAATTGAACAATGTCGTCTATAGATACTCAAGGAGAATTCTTTCTCTGTTGTGTCTGCTCTTTGGAATGAGATTTAGTGTTTGATGTGCCCTTAGGTCTTTTTTGTCTCCTATCAACATAGATCATATTCCTAGATCTTATTCCTAGATCTTCATCTTTTCCGTGATAATCTATCACTAACCTGTTCTTTCAAGTATCTCAACAATGCACTCAATTGCTACAGTAAATAAGTCCATCCACCTTGCTGAGGGTCATCTTTTTCTTCTCTTTCCTTCCACCTTTCCCAACATTAGAATCTTCTCCAGACAGATGGGTCTTCTCCCTGGATGTGTTCATCATTTTTCTTTCCTGTTATAATTAAATGGTTTTTTTTTAATTGGTATAGTGGCCATCTCACCTAAGTGGCTTTGGACAGTTCATAACATTGTAAAACAATAACAAGATAAAAGCAGGTTAAAATTGTTATACAAACATTAATGAAGCCACATTAAAGCAAAATTAACCATAATCAGTGAAGTCCATATTTTTAATTTTGTTTGTTTATATATTTTACCAGGATATCATATTGATTTAGCTTGTACTGTTGTAATTTAATACAGTATTTGTTAGCTGTCCAGAGTCAGAATAACAGAGTTAGAAGTGAGCTTAGAGGTTTTCTACTCAAACCCCTAATCAAGCAGGAAGCACTGGCTTATACCATTTCAAATGTTTGTCCAATCTCTTCTTTAAAATCTCCAGTGTTGGAGCACCAACAACTTCTAGAAACAAGTCATTCCACTGTTTAATTGTGCTAATTGTCAAGAAAAATTTCCTTAATTTTAAGTTGTTTCTCTCCTTGATAAGGTTCTATCCATTGCTTCTTGTCCTGCCTTCAGGGGCTTTGGGAAATAGGTTGATCCTGTCTTCTTTGTGTCAGCCCCTTAAATATTGGAACACTGCTATCATGTCATCCCTAGTTGCTCTTTTCATTAAACTAGACGTATCTAATTCCTGCACCGTTCTTCATATGTTGTAACCTCCCATGCCCTAATCATCTCTGTTGCTCTTCTCTGCACTCTTTCTGGAGTCTCAACTTCTTTTTTATATCATGGTGACCAGGGGTGGGATTCAAATTTTTAATAACTGGTTCTGTGGGCGTGGCTTGGTGGTTATGTGACTGGGTGGACATGGCTTGGTGGTCATGTTATTGGCTGGGTGTGGCCAACTCAATATCACTCACATCAAGGCACACATCTCCTCGCCTGGCCTCTCATGACTGTGGGGATGCTGCAACAGTCATAAGTATGAAAAATGGTCATAAGTCACTTTTTTCAGTGCCATTGTAACTTTGAATGGTCACTCCACACAAGCAAAGTACCAGCAAAGGAGGGGGGGAAACTCCAGAGACGTTCCTGAGACTGAAAGTCTAGTCCTGGCAAGAATATAATAAGGATTAACGGAGAGGTAGTTTCTGTAAGCAACACCAGAATGTTTCCTTCCTGCCTTCCTTACAGGATTAGGCCAGTAATTTCTTCTAACAACTGGTTCTCTGAACTGCTTAGAATGTTAACAACCGGTTCTAGCGAATAGGTGCGAACTGGTAGAATCCCACCCTTGATGGTGACCAAAACTGGATACAATATTCTAAGTGTGGTCTTACCAAGGCATAATGAAGTAGTATTAACATTTCACATGATCTTGATTCTATCCCTCTGTTAATGGAGCCTGTGTTGGCTTTTTTTGGGGAGGGGGGGCTGCTGCAGCACACTGCTAGCTCATATTTTAGTGATTGTCCACTAGGACTCTAAAATCTCTCTCGCAGTTACTACTATTGAGTCAGGTACCACCTATTCTATACCCATAATGGTTTTTCTTTCCTAAATGTAGTTTAATTTTCTCACCACTGAATTTCATTTTGTTAGATATGTGTTTATGTCTGTGTTTATGTGTTTATGTCTGTCAAGAGCCTTCTGTATCTTGAGTCTGTATAGTGAGAGCACATGCACTAAGACAAATTCCTTCTGTGTCCAATCACATTTGGCCAATAAAGAATTCTATTCTATTCTATCTTCCAGACTATTCCTGCCAGTTTGGTGTTGTCTGCAAATTTGATGAATTCTCCTTCTAAATCATTGAATATTGATTCTGGTTATGACTTTGTTTGCCTCTAGGTGTTTGCTTGATTATCTTTTCCAGGCTCTTTCCAGGTATTTATGTCAGACTAAAAGATCTGTAGTTACCGGGATTTTTTTTTCATTTTTTTTAAAATGGGAACTATATCAATTGGAAGCATACTGTGCTAAATGGAATTAAATAATAAACAGATAAATAAATAATAATCTAATCTGTACATATTTCTTCCCTTTAAGGAGAGGCAGTCATAAGATCTCTAACGTAGTAAAAAAAATTATTTCACTTTTTCCACGTTGCAATTAAATATTTTCAATAATGCATTCAATGATGGGATAAGTATTTTTTAAAGCATGACAATAAAGTACACTGGAAAAAATCATTTACACTACTTCAGGAATCATATGACCCTTCAAGTGATTAAAAAGCATGAGCTCTGCTGCATGATATTTTTAGTAATGTTCTTATGAGACTGAAAGCTTTTGCAAAATTAGGGGTCCCAGTGCACCTATCAGGGGAGAATTTTCCCACTCTCCCATACAGAAAAAACAAATAGAAAGAAAAACCTACTTATTAACCATTATTAAAGGGTTAGATATCCCCTAGAATTATAAGAGCAAAACCTGCTTACTAACCATTATTAAAGGGTTAGATATTTCCTAGAATTAGATATTGATGTTTGGATATCGAGGTTAGAATTCCTTCTAAGATTCCCAATATCCAATAATGAGGCAGGATGAGTATGGGAATAAAAATATAAAAATAAATAAGTACTTTCAGCTGGTAGTTTATCTGTCTGTCTATCTCTCATGTCAAAGGGATAATACAGTCCTTGAAATGAATTATGCCTTATCTTAACACATATTACAACAAACCTTTGAATGCCCAAAAGCTGACATTTCCCCATTGATTCCAAGCATGCTGATTGAAAGAACTGATTCCTGCCTCTAAGAAATGTTTGTGGAAACCAGTAATTCACCCCCAGAAGACCACATGGGAAACATAAAAAAGTTACAATAGGTTTTTTCATTAGGGCTGAGAGAAGCTTATTTGATAAATAAGTCCTAGACTTTGTTGGCAATCATTTTCATACTTCTAGTACAGATAAAAAGATAAGGCTACACAAGGCTGAGGATGGTAAGAAGAAGGCAAGATTATGTAGAGTCTATTTATGCACAATACTAATTTGGTCTCCCTTAAGCCTCAAAATGTCTTGTAGACTTGAAAACTAAGTAGGGTCAGTCATGGTTA